TATTCACAAGTGATGGTGATCGTTGACCGCTTTTCAAAGTTTCTAAATCTGGTTCCATTACCACCTCACGCCCCAACTGACCTTGTGATCAAGGAATTTCACAAACGGTACATTCTTCAGTGTGGACCCCCGAAAACTCTTGTGAGTGACCGGGACACTAGGTTCATAAGTGCAGAATGGAAGATTCTTCACCTCCCAGGTCTATGACATGAAACTCAAGATGACATCTGGTCGACATCCCGAAGCCAATGGACTGGCCGAGGAGATCAACCAGAGTGTGATTCAACTTCTCCGAGCCTTAATTGTGCCTGATCAGAACTCTTGGGATGAGGAATTGCCGATCGTACAAGGGTTGTACAACAACTCCATCCACTCCACCAAGATGGCGCCTAACCGGCTGCATCTTGGATAGAAAATCTGCAATCCTCTATCTTATCTGTTCCCTGAACAGCCGCCTGGCCTAACACCTGGCCAGCCAGGCTACAGCTCGAAGTATGATCGTTTGCTCAAAGTTGTTATCGCAGCTATGGAGAAGCGACGCAGTGCCATACATGCCAACAAAAAGTGCCAACCTGATCCTTTCACTGCGGGAAGCTATGTTTGGGTCAAGATGTCTGAGTTTTCTGAAGAAGAAGGCGTATCACGAAAGCTTCTTCCTCAGTACTACCGTCCATGGAAGGTGTTGAACCGAGTAGGCAATGATTCCTTTGGTCCTTCCTACATGATCGATGTGCCTGCTCATCTGCGCACATATCCAGTCTTTCACGCATCGAAGTTGTTTCCGTATGAACCACCTGAAACTTTTCCGTATCGAGAATCGATGATTCCTCGCTCAATCAATGGCGGCCATGAGGTAGATAGAATTGTTGAACATAGTGGAAAGGGGAGAAACAAACAGTATAAAGTACATTTCCTTTGCCACCCGCTGAATGACTTCTACTGGATTGCTAAGAAAGACTTGCTGCAGAGTGCTCCACGAGTTGTCAACGCACATGAACGAATGATTAGCTCTGAACAACAACCGAAATTCACTGCTACACTCACCCCTACTGAACACGCCCGATCTCTCTTTGCCATCTACACTTATGATGCATTATGCAAGGACTCTGATTGAGTTACTCGCTCGAAGGGACCTCGCTCTTGAGGGGGGGGTAGTGTAATGACCCGTCAAAACACAGACTGAGAACACTGCTGATTTCTGAAGTTCTGCCGATGGAATGGATGCCTTGCTGAGATTCCCGCATTCTGCTGTGTTTTCTAAGTCTGTCTGTGTGTGCATGCTTGTGACCTGCGTGCCTGTCTGAGTGCTTGTCGGTATGAGTGTGTGTGTGACCCGCAAGGGTACTTGTTTGTTTGGCGGGCCCGTAGGGCCAGTACTTACCTGTGGCCATGGCATTGAGGGTTGCAGCAGGGAAAACACTCAAGTAGCGGAGCCAGGGGCCCGCGGTGCTTAGAGCAGCGGAAAAACACTCAAGTAGCAGGTAGGCCGGTACCGCACCCAGCAGCAGTAGATGTGCCGGGTACTCGAGGCCGAGCAGAAGAAGACRAAGTTGGCATTTTTAGAGGCCCAGTAGTGGTAGGCTAGGTSTAGGGCGGTACCAGTCCATCCAGTCTGAGTCTAGAGCCTGTACGGGCAATATCAGAGTCTGCAATGATGTTTCCCTCCGAAAGGGAGGAGGTACCGGTTGCTTGGGAGGCCGAGCGGCCTGGAAGTCACCGCCCASGAGGCAAGCAGGCCGCTATATCAAGAGGCCRAGGCAAGAGCTCGGCCTCATTCTTCAGTGTGCAAGTTTGGCTACACGCTGCTGGAGCGCTGGCTGGAGTGGCGCTGGGTACTACAGCRCTGCTGGGAGGAAGAAGCCGGGAGCTTCCACCTTGGCTATGGTGGAGCTCTACCGGTAGGAGGAGGAGGGAGAAGGGGACCAAGGAGGAGAGTGGTAGGGTACTTACCTGGCTATGGCAGACACCATCTTCATCACCTTGTTAGGCGCTGCATCTGGAAGGCCSCAGTRRGGGTAGTGSCGCATCAAGGAAGCTCGGGGCAGAGTCRGGCATGGYGGTTGAGTGGGCAGCGGCATAGCTGCATGGTGATGACCTTGAAGTGGGGCAGCGACATAGYTGCTTTGGGTTGTCCTTTSGACAGGAGGCTGAARCCTCAGTAGTCYGCCATAKCCTCSGCCTGTATGTAGAGGAAGAGGAAGGGTGGCCATGGCTATGGTGGACCTCATGTTGTGCCTGCAGTAGAAGTGGGATTCGGACATTGATTCTGGTTCAGTCATTCAACATTATTATTGTTATTTCTTGTTTGAATAAGAGAGGAGNATGTTGTGCCTGCAGTAGAAGTGGGATTCGGACATTGATTCTGGTTCAGTCATTCAACATTATTATTGTTATTTCTTGTTTGAATAAGAGAGGAGGAGATAAGGAGGAAGAGATTGGTTGGCGAAGGAGAAGGGCCTTGTTATTGGTCTATGCTGGAGTACATCAACTTCTTCTCCTTTCTTACTTCTTCTTCTTCTTCTTTTCCCTCTCTCTCCTCTCAAGTTCATTCATTTCTTTTTGCAATTGCATGGCATTGTACTTTCAAATGAATGTACACTTCGAAATTGGCCAGGATCGTAACAAGTACTACTCTAGCTATGGTGCCCAGCGCTGAAGACTACAGCTAGTGCTACTAGCGCCCAGCGCTGAAGACTACTGCTAACGCTACTCTACTCCTGCAGCGCTCCTCCAGAGTGCTGCTGCCGAATCCTGAAGACTACTGACTGCCTCCTGCCTACCCGTGAAGTGCATGGGAAGTCCCTATGTACTACCTCAGCCTGCCTCCTGACTGCCTCCGACTGCCTGCAGTTGCAGGGCGGGCAGTCCAGGAGCCTGCTCTTGCCAATGCCACGCTGAGCCAGGGGCTGGCGCTGCAGCTGTCGTGGGAACAGGCCAAAAATAGCCTGTTCCTAAAACCCTCGTTCGGTGCCTGACTTTCAGGGCAGGCCGGTCTGATGACAGACCGGAAATGGCCCTTTGTTTCAGACTAAAGTTTCAGGCTAAAAAGGCTACTGCCATTTTTAGTCTGAAACGACACAGGGTCTGTAGGCCCCTGTTTTTCAGGTTTTCGAGCTGAATGGTCACGGGGCCTGTAGGCACTGGTTTTCAGGCTTTCAGCCTGAGGGACGCAGGGCCTGGAAAATTGCCCTCGTGTGCAGGCGCAGCATGTAACAGAGGAGGAGCAAGGTGGAGAGAGAAGGGGGATTTGTCATTGGTCTTGCTGGTGTATATCTTCTTCTTCTTCTTCTTCTTCTTCTTCTTTCTCTCTTCTTTGGTCTCTATCTCTTTGCAAGTGCCTTCATTTCTTTCGCAATTGGGTGGCATTGTCTTTCATTGTGAATTTGCACTTCGGGAATGACCAGGATCGCAGCATGGTGAATATGACCATCTTTGTGTGCCTAATTTGGAACCCATCCGCTCCAGAATTCTGGGCGAATGTCATGATAACAATGGTCACTTTGGGTTCTTTACGCCCTCCGGGAGTTTGCCGCAATGGTTCTATCGCTCTGGTATGAAATGAAGGAAGATGAGCGCAAGTTTGTTGCAAGTTGTCAAATCTGCCAGCGGAGTAAAATCCGCCAGCAGCAGCCACTTGTGATCTGCTAAAACTTAAGACCCTTACCCCATTCCTGATGGCCTTGGTCAGTCCAGTCCATCTCCATCAATTTCGCTGACATGGGCAAGATGAGTAAGACGAGGTTTTCGTGGATCATGGTTTGTGCCAGTCACTTCTCCAAATACCTAGCTTTGACTCTTTCGCCGCCTCAAGTGCCTACAGATCCAGCCATCAAACAATGCGGGCACGTCAAAGGCTGGGGGTCCACGGCCAGTGTTCTTACCCGATCGCATTGTGCAGGTCTGTCTAGGTGCGAGCGATCACATTGTTTGAGAGTTATGATGAATGGAATTGAAATGGACAGGAACATAGCATACATCACCCTTGCACTTGGAGGCCCTCTGCACATTCCAGCAAGACCCTCAACCAAATTAGTCACACTTGCACTTGGAGGCCTACGCACATTCCAGCAAGACCCCAATGGGGGTCTTGCGAGGGGGCCCCACATTAGAAATTAGTCACCCAGACTCATGCGCGGTTCACTTCCGAGCTCCCGCAAGTCATGACCGCAACCTGATAATAGGGCCCCACATTAGAAATTAGTCACCCAGACTCATACGCGGTTCACTTCCGAGCTTCTGCAAGTCATGACCGCAACCTGATAATCTCTCGTCAAACATCCTTATGCAACTATGTGCAGAAGTTTTCAACTTTTCATTGAGGGGATGTTCCTCGGAGGTAGGAATGCGTAGGAATTAGCACCGAATGCCTGGCAATCTTTTGTACTTCACCTCAGTCACTGATTCTACCAAGGTCTGGAGAAGTAAGGGTAGTCTTGGAGGAGGGAGATGGCTCAGAGAAGGCAACCAAAAAATACCCAAAGTGATGGGCCAGGGTGGTTTTCCCAGTGTGGTGACTGAGGCACCGAGAGGGGTGTGACTAGAGTCAGAGATGCCAGTGAGGATCTTACTGAAGGGGATGGCGGTTCACAGAATGGCGAATGAGGAAGACAGAGGCGAGGCGGGAGGGGGGGTTGGGGGGGGGGGGGGGGGGGGGGGGGGGAGCGGTGTGCGGGAGCATATATTCCGACTCCAACGCCAACACCACAAACCAGCCGGAACCCCCCACCCACTTCGAGTTGTGCACAGCAAACATAGCAAAACATACGCAAACCATAATCACTACCTCACCCTTCCGCAACCGCATCAACAAACGAACTACGGGCTGCGCACCCGTGCCCTCACGGTAAGTCAATGAAGAAGCATATATTCCGACCCCAACGCCAACGCCACAACACGCTGGGACAATGAACAAATGCTCTGCAAAGAGTATCAGCAGCAAACTCAATGGTGCTTTCACACGCAAGGTCTGAGTCAGAAGTACACCACCATCTTCTTCTTACCTGGTTGCTGCTGCTGAGGCAGCTGTTGCAGCTTGTTGAAGTTGTTTATCTCGTCGATCAATTTCCTCCTGCAGATCAGACTAACATTCGTTCCATGACATCCGACCAGACACAAAACAACTTTCACAACTTTAACATCGTTTCAATCATTCTTCTCAATTGGGTTCTCTTCATGCACAAGAGCAATGCAACACAATCTTGTATTTGACAATATTTCTATTTATGTTTTTCAACATACGCAAGGAATTGTATAAAGTTATGAACTTTGCTCAAGAGATCTTTTTTTAATAACAATTTCTTATAAAATATGATCTACTTTACAAAATCATTCAACCCCTCTATTGCTTTGCCAGAAGCACAAGCACACTGACGTGAATTCCTGGAAGTTTTTTTTAGACTTAACAACTCGCTTCTCTCCACAGACCGCATGACCGAGGCAGTCACATGGAATTAGGCGTTCATACAGTAGGACGAGAGGAAACACCAGAACAGGCACAAGTGGTTCATAGGACCAATCTCAGACGGTCCCAGCAGAGTCTAGAAGCATAGCAGCAGAACGCAAAATCAGGTAGGAAGAACTGCAAATTGCTCTTGACATTGCAGAAACCGACCTCGCATCAGATTCTTCCAACTCCTATCACGACCTTGTCCAATACCAAGGACAAATGAAATGAATGGACAAGATGGGAACTCAGAGGCCTACAAATACGCGCCCGAATGAATGACTACACCCTGAATGAATCCATGTCCAAATTCTTCTTTTCCAAAATCAAGGCCAAAGCAAGGAACAACATGATCGAGGGGCTAAAGGACCCAGTGGAACAGGGGGAGACAAAATCAGCCGGCACCGACATGTTAAGAATAGCCAGATCCTTCTATGCCGACCTCTACGAGTCCAAAACTCCCTCCCCCCCCCTCCATCAACGAACATCATTGCCCGCCAGCACATGATGACCTACCTAGAGAGGACGATCACCCAGAAACAAACGGAGAACTTAAACAAACCAATCACCCTAGGGGAACTTCACGCAGCCCTGTCCCAGATGCGAAATGACAAAGCACTGAAAATTGATGGTCTGTCCAAAGAATTGTGGGTCCAGTTCTGGCCCACATTGGGCAACGACCTCCTGAACTTCATTAACGATAGCAGGGACAAGAGAGGCCCGGGTCAATTTCTAAGCACAAGCGTAGTTTCACTAATTTAAAAAAAGGGCGACAAGGAGGACCTGAAAAACTACAGACCAATCTCACTTCTCACAACACCGTACAAAATCCAAGCAAAGGGATTAGCTAACAGAATGACAAAACTAACAGACAAACAAATGCTTTCATATCAACCAAGCAGGATTCATTCCTCGTCGAAATACTTTGGATAATGTGACCGCCCTTGCAATCATACTCGACTTCTTCACACTTGTCATGTATGCAAACAGCGAAACAGCAACTGGCGACATGCGCCCACACAATACTCAAGATATCGTAACCAGATATGAGTTCTCTTCAACTGGCTATGGCGACTGGGCGCCCACACAACTCACTGTTCACACTCTGGATCACCCTGGATGTCCCACACGCAACACTCAGTAT